ATGGCTCGTTCTGCATGCAGAACGACCCATTCTAAAAGCAGTACGGCCCGTTCTACAAGCAGTACAGGTCGTTCTGCTTGCAGTACGGGCCGTACTGAAAGCAGTACAGGCCGTTCTGCTTGCAGAACGGACCGTTCTAGGGCCGTTCTGTTGCAGTACAGGCCACCGCGTCACTTTTAAAATGGCTACCTTATGACTGATTTTAAAACCCCGATTTTAAAAGTTATTTTTGTACTAATCTTTCTTTTCATAGAACAAGTAAGAGTCTTTCTCATACAAAATCACTTGCCGACATTGCGCACCCCTCTTCTTTCTCTTTCTGGCACTCCTCTTCTTCTTCTTCTTACTGTTACGAAAAGTTCTTTCCGGAATTATATAAAAATGTTCCGGAAAATACTTTCCATAATATTAAATTCTTATTCCGGAAAGTATTTTCCGGAAATATTTTGTTATATAATTCCGGAAAGTATTTTCCATAATATTAAAGTTACTATTACGGAAAGTTCTTTCCGGAATTATATGAACAATAATTTCTATTCCGAAAAGTACTTTCCGGAATGCTAATGACTGTAAAAGTACTTTTCGAAATGCTATGACTGTAAAAGAACCTTTCTTATGCTGATTATGGTGGGACTAGTCCTTTTTTTCTATTCAGAATGACTGTAAAAGTATATTGCTTAATAACATTGAGCGGAAAGAGGCTTTGGGAAGAAGAGGGGTGTGAAATGTGGGGTGCGGGGAAGGAGGGTGGGGAAAGGGAGGTGTAAATTTAAGAATTTCATTTTTTTTAAAGGGTAATTTAGACATTTTATATATTTTTTTTTAAAAAGGGGGTGTGTTTATATGAAAGTGGAGGTGTGTTTATCACCAGCCTAATGTAAATTAATAAAAGCCCAGTTTCATTTCTCAATAGTGTCCAATCCCTCTGCCACTTCCAAATTTCCACCAACACAAGGGTCAATCAGGCCCAACAATTTGTGGGCAGCAAAACCCAATTTTACAAAGGGGGGTACACATTTTTCTTCAGAAAAAGGTAAATTGAGCAATGCATTTTTTTTTCTTTTTTGTAATTACTATAATGATTAATTTATTGGCCCCGAGTGAAAAACGTAATAAAATAATAATAATACTTATATAACTTTTTTTTTTTACATTCTTACATAAATAAGACAAATAAAAAAGATACGTGCGAGATAAGCAGCGATAGAATGAAATAAAAAATATATATATGTTTAATCTAATCGATTTTTTTAGATTAAATATATTCATAAAAATTACTCAGCTATGCATATAATAGCATCCTCTATTTTCATATATTAAAATCAATTTTTTTTTCTCTTTTGAAACATTTAGTGACCTTTTTATTTATATTAAACGACTATTTTAATACAAATAAAAATACAGACATGACCCGTGTGATTACACGGGTCAACATGTTAGTTTCTAATTAAAGTTACACATTACCTGTATAACAAAGATCGATACTGATTTTTAAGGTGAAATTTCACTTTTAACAGGAAAAGAATACCGAAAGTTACAGAAGTTTTATCGACTCTTAGCCCCGGGGTTTTTCACATTTGCTTGTGTATCTGAAAGTATCGAACTGCTGCTCCTGCACAATCAAGAAACTGGCATGAATATTTAAAATGACATCGGGTTTTACAATCTGCTACTGTTATTGAATTTTATAGAAAGCTTGTGTTGTGGACCAAGGCGTAAGATGCGTCAATCTTAACACTTGGTAAAATGTACTCGTTGATATTTACGTCGTGGCAGACACATTGAAGTCAGAATTGGAAGAGGTTACTACCTGGTTATAGTATTACTATACTTTTCCTCTTGCGCCTCCTTGCTTTCCGCAAAATTCGCTCAGTTTCTTCCTCTTCTTCTTTCGTCAATTTCCCAAATAGGTCTTGTCCATGGAAACATATATTTAATAGCAGTTATTATTTCTACTCAAATACTACCTCCCTTCCTTTTAATAGTACTCCTTTTAAGATTCTTATGTACAAAACAAAACAAAAAATAAAATTTCCTGTTTCAATAAAACAATTTCGTATTATACTCATCTTCATTTTTACTCCATAATTAATGTATGTTAGTTGTAATTGTCTAAATGCTAACAACATCACTTTCTTGGCAATAATAAAGAGAGTATTGTCGCTGTCATCACCTTTTTTAAACACTAGATAAGTAATGTTTTTCATTGCTCAAAACTGCATCTAGAACTAAAATTCATCCCTTACACCAGAACTGCTCGATACAATACTTTTTTTTCACCGATAGAATTAAGTTTTAATTCTCTCAACACAATTTTCTTCATTCACATAGCCAACATTCAAACTCCTAATAACATATGTTTAAAGGAAACAACTATCTAATATTTCCAATTTTAAACTATTTGAAAAGGCAAACAAAAATATTAAAACACTTTTGTTTACTAAGATATCCTCTGGCCAATAATTATAATTAATTATTTTAAGGCGGATACTGTGTCTTTTATTAAAGCTTTTTTACTATACACCATATAAAAATGAAAAATGGATAAAAAAAAATATATAAAAATGAAACACAGCAAGTTTTATTGTAGTTTTGTCAACTACCTGCGTTTTCACCGACCAAGCAGGAAAAACCTTCAGTCTCCTCATCAGATTCAATGACAATAGCACAGTCTCTACCTCCCCTCATATACTGTCATTCAAACAGTACTTGGAAATTGATAAAGCACATATAAGACTTGCCAACTAAATAAAAAGAAATCGTTTACATGAAAATGAAGTGACAAATGTCATCGCCAAGTGCATCTTACATAACTGTTTGTATCATATCCACAACTTGTAAAAAGGCATGTAAATTTCTGATCATGAATGGGGGAAGAGACAGTTTTTTTGAAAATACCTTCTCAGTGTGTGGTTCTTTTTTCTTTTGCACCTTTTCAGATGTTTTATCTGAAAAAACGACTCTTTCTCTTTTTACTGGCTTCCAAACGCCCACTTTTATCTCTGGAGCTACAGTAGCTCGTATATTCTTCGCCTCACACCTTGACCTTGGTCACGCGCATACTCATAAATCATAATCATAAAAATGCTTTTGCGAGCGTCAAATAAAAACCAGTCGTAAATAGAAGGATTGATAATTAAGTATTCGATGCAATGTAGCTATTGGGGAGGAACAAATATATAAAATAAATCATCACTCCATTAAACCTGGATTTTGCCAGTCAATAGCAAAGGCGGATATTATAAATAAAACTCGTGATTCAGAGCGTAGAAAATACAATTATTGTATCACGTTTTTGTCGTGAAAAAAAAATAGAAAAAGCAACATTTTCCGGAACAAAAGGATGAATTGCATCCAAAATGAAATGACTTCACTAGTTCAGAAGATGAGTTGGAAAAAACATTAATTACCATAAATGTTTTTTTTTTATATCTCTAACGTATTAAGTGAGATAGACTCCGTTGGTAGGTACCCATAAAATAACTGTAGATTTATGAAGAAAAAAAAATTGTTTCTTTCCATAACTAAATGGTGGATTAAAAGAATATAAGGCACGGGTCCAATATTGGGACTGGACCAGAAAAGGATCAATGGCTGGACCAGGGTCCAACCAAACCAAATGCCTGGAAGGTCTATACCAGGAGGCAAAAGGAGGAGACCTGAAGAAGTTAGTTAGCGTGCTGAGATGTAAGTTTGCTAGGATAGGTGGAAGATTTCTGATTATAGGGAGGTGTTGAGTGGGGGGAGATGAGAGTTTGTCAATAGAGTGCTATTTTGGTTCAATAATATAATAGAATCCAATCTACTTGTTTCCTTCCTGGATACATACATACATATATGTATTTTGTAAATGGATATATGTGCTCTCTTTCTCATTGCCATCATGTGATTTTCAAATCTAATTCTTTCAGCGGCCAAAGCAATGCAGCAATTTAATCCAGTAAATTAACAGTGTTAATCGTCAAATAATTATAGTTATTGTATTCATATGAAAGCTAAGAAACAAATGATTTCACTAATCTATATATATAATAGATCTAAAAAAAAATCAGATTTTTTTTCAATAAATCCCCAATTTTTCTAGTTTACAAATTATAAAAATAGAGTAGAAAATGTATTGATACAATATTGAGTTAATTGTCATTCCCTTTTGGATCAAATATATGTCATGCCATATAAAATTAAATCAATCTACAGTAAATTAGTTCTCACATTTTGGAGTAAAAAGTATATGATATAGTCTTATGAGCAACGCTTCAAAATTGTTTCATAAATAAAACTTACTGAAATTGACGAATAATGTAGACAAATGGATGTAACTCCCTAACTGATAAGACACTACAATTAGTAGAGTAGTAGTGTAAACATACTTAGCAAGAGGCTGACGCCTTTTCGGTGTGGTAACCCGTTTGCTAACCCTCTGCAAGCCAACAATGTATCAGAGGGTAAAAAAAAAACTACGGTTTTCACCGTAGAAAATAATCAGGATTCGGGAGCACGAAATCTTTTCATAAAAAAAAATTAAAAAAATGGAACAAGGTAAATCTTCCATGTAGCATTAAAAAATCAGAAAAATATGTAAATGGTTCATTAATAGAGATAAAGCACCTTTGAAGACAAAGTACGTGGCGCCAGATCCTTTTGGTTGACGCTTTTCAGAATGCAAGAAATTTCCTGCATGTACTCATTGGTAAAGCATCATTGGTTTACAGCCATCTAGGTGACTCTAAAAGAAAGCAAGATGGGAGGGTGGGGGTGAGGAATTTTACTATAGTGGTGAAAAAATGAGTGGAGGGATTTTAAGAAATCTTTACATTGTATAATCTGTACCTAACCATAAAAGTTTAATGTGTACATGTTTTAATCATTGTTAACTAGCATATGGTACGTGCCTTCATTTCCTTGTTGATGTCACGGAGATCATTTTGTACATTTTGCTGAGAGGCTTCGATTAGTTGAGGCAACGCAGAAACCGCCAAACATACTTCCTGTAATTTCTCTTTCTTTGAAACATGGCTCATTTGTTCAGATAAAGATTTCAAGCTCCCATCAATGATTGCTTTAATTTCTTCTTGTCCTTTAGTCTGATTTAAAACCAGACCATCAGTTTACTGAATTTCAATATCCATTGATGTTAGTGAAATCATGCAAGTCAAGATAGAAACCAGGTTATTACCATTAACTGAAGCGAGTTATCCTGTGCAATCAACTTCTGCCTAATGAATTCCACTGAATGGAAATTGAGAAGTTAAAATTGTACACTAGGTCATATAAGTAACTTACATAATAGACCGAGCCACAAAATACGCTCATTAGTATAAATTTGAAAATGAGTGCAACGCACCCACCCGAAAAAGTCCAACTGGGCAAGCTGGCATCAAACACTTAATGAACGGCAAATGGAGCTCGATATCAGAGTTTTTAGCATAAAAAACGAGACTTCCTTCAATTGAACTATGTTTCAAAGAATATACAATTGTAGAAAAATGCAAAATGTGCATTGAATCAAAGGAGAGACATTAAAAATTTCAGTAGAAGAGTGTTGACAGATATGATTACCCAAATTCAAAGTCAATAAAGGGAACATGACAGGTATGCATTGAACCAGATTTTATGCAAGAACCATTAAGGTCGGTCTAATAATGGGGGTGAGAGTTAGACTAGAATGTGCAGTCTTATATTCAAATTTTGTTATCTTGTAATTTCAACTGATTAAAAAAAAAAAAAAAAAAGACCCACTGTCTTCCTCAGAAGTACTGTCATTGATTGGTATTAATACAACTTCCATAAATCTTTTTTCAGAATATTGTCAATGCTTACAAGGTGAGTTACTTACTCTCCAAAATAATTTCCTTTGTTCCTTTGTTTACTTGCATTACGTCACTTTGAACAGAATCCAGGATCATTGCAAACCTACTCAATGTTGTTTCCATTATGCCAATTCGGTGTTCAAGTCCTTCACTTAACTGACCTGCCCGATGTAATAATAGATTTATTATCTTCTGTAAAGTAACATGCGAGCGTATAGATATGAAAGTCAGATCACTTATACATATGTCTAAAGTCTAATGTGGATGCCAAAAGGATAAGCTAGGAAAATAAAACTCATATTTTCATTAAATACTCTTACTTTTATGTTCTGCAGAATTCCATTTAATCATTAGATTGGACGAAGATCTCGAGTTAGGTTGTTGACTCTCTTCCCGCGAATATGTAGCTCGGGGCAAGCTAGAAAGCCTCCTCAAAGAGTTCTCATGTTCTTGAGAACCAATTCTCTACAAGGATTATAAAAACATAATAAACATAGAAGTAGAATCTCGAATTGCTCGTAATTATGTTTATATACTAAAGTTCAAAAACAAAATGTGTTAGGTTTACTTAAAACATTTCATAATTGAGTGAAGGATCTTAGAAGATGTTCTCTACTTACAAAGAAAAACTCATTGGTAATAACATACCAGTATCATGTGCATATGAAAAATTAGTAAAAGTACATAGGAGGTTTTTCCTCTAAGATTTGTCAACAAAACTTAGATGCAGTTCCTTTTTAAATCTTAGAGTTGTTATTCAACATTCAATAAGGATTGAAGTTTAAGTGTTTCTAAATTTTAGTGTCGTTATTCAATATTCAATCAGGATTCAAGTTTCATCTCGATAACTTATTCAGATCTTTAATGCAAAGTTTTATTATATAACTAACAAGCTAAAACTCCAATTACGATAAAAAATAAATAAATAAATAACACCTGAAATACTTGCATTTGAATATGTAGTTTTAAGTCCCGCGCACAAGATTGTGACAAATATGATAAATCTAAGGTTAACCACGGAATAAATTGCTACACTCTCTGTGTGGAGTAAGCAGCACAGGGACTATTAATTAGCAGCGACATTAACGATTTCTCTCGCAGATCATGCTTCATTTTACTTGTTTGAAATTAGGTTTTTCTCAACTCATGAACAATTCATGAAAGAAGTACAATCAAGCATATTTTCAACTCGAGCAAAAACAACACAGTGAAAGCCGCTGCATCAATATGAGGCAAAATATAACCTGATCATTAGTCGTGACGGCCTCGTCGAGAGAGTTCTGAGAGAAATGAGACAAAATTCCGTGCTGAGAGGAGAGTCCCTGAGAAAGCGACTGCTGAGACGGTTGCGAGCGATGCTGAGAGTGAGACACTTGCAATCCGCTTGACACGTTGTTCCCTTTCCTTCATACAGCATAATCGATTAAAATTGTCAACACTCAGAGAAAAGAAGCACGAACCTGAAGCTGAAGCGCGTGGTAACGCACCAGAACTTCGGTTCACCGCAGTTCGCGTTATGATATCAAATTTACAAATCATTCTAGCTTAGTTTCCAGATCTCGTTATTTTAACGATCCAAACAGAGCGTTATGCGAGGAAAAAATGAGAGAGTGAGGGAAGGGGAAAAGTGACCTTGGATAAACGAGAGGAGGAGGAAAGACGGAGATGGAGGAGAGATCGCAGGCTTTGTTGATCTTCATCTTCATTTCGGTCGGAGATGAAACGGCGTCTAGGTCATCGTCGTCGAGATCTGCAGAAACGGCAAGCGTTTCGAGTTTGCTCTGTGTGAGAGAAGAGAAGAGAATAAAGATAGAAGCTCGCGGATTGCAAATAATGGCGGGAATGGGATGGGAATTTGAAGAAAGAAGAGAAGAGACCGTTGGTATTTATATTGATGGGTTTAAACAGAAATGGGCCGGGTCACGGGTCAGTTCTTCTTTCAAAGTAGGAAGAATTTCACATTTCATCAACTGGACTCGTTGGACAGCTTTGGGAATTAATATATTATGGTATTTGAATGTAATTTTGGATTGTATTTCAGTAATATTTTAAAGATGTGTATATGTTGTTTTACTTAAAAGTATATTTTAAGTTAAAATTGAAAATAAGAGCTTAAAAAGAAATTAAATTTGTTTATTATTTTCTTTTTCTCTAAAACACTTTTTTAAGGTAAAAGTTTTTTGGTAAAAAAAAAATAAAAAGCTTTGATTTCGTTTGAAAATAATTATTTGGTCCAATAAAAACATATTTATAAAAATAAAATATACTATTAAATTAATTTTATTTACGTGAAATTGTTTTAATGACAATAAAAATTAACAAAATAGTTAGAATCATATATTTAAAAATTTTAACATGCCAAAAATTATCTTAATAATTTTTTTTGATGATTTGAAAGTTATATATATATAATAAAAACTAAATCAATATAAATATCAATAATAAATGATAAAATGTTTAATTTATTCTATATTATTGTTTAATAATATTTTAAATAATTAGTATAATCGAACATTAATTATAATAAATAAATAAAAAACGTATGATATCACATTCAAGAAAGTACAGGAGACCACGTGATAAACAAATTCAAAAAATAAAAAATATATATAGATATACAACAAAAATAATGACAAACTAAAATATAAGTACATAGAATTCAAAGTGAGGTTTAAGGTTTGACACTAATCTTTGGTGTTCAATTAATTAAGTTAAACCTTGTGATTTAAAAGCTTTTATTTAAAAGATTGATTCACCTAATTTTCTAAATATTCGTTAATTATTATCTTTTAACAATAATTATATATTGTGGTATTTTGAGGTGTAAGGAGCTCTTAAGAAATATTTATGTGTTTTAGAGAGAGTTTTTAGATAAAAGTCTAATTTGACCATGAGAGAAAAGTACATAAGATTTTTTTTATTAAGAATTGAGTTTTATGAGTCTAGTTCTTAAAAACGTTAAAGAGATAAGTTAGAGATAAGCACTCTAAAGTTCATGAGTTTCTCTTCTTCTCTAAACTTTCTATCGAGAAGGTGATTCTTTTTCCAAAGTTATAATTTGGTTGTGTTTGTTGATTCGAGTCAATAGAACCATGAATCAAGATTGTTGAGTCATGCAAAATTTATTGGAAAAGCTTGGAACCATTTCCTTCTTCTCATTTTCTCTTAGATTTTTGTGTTAGATTGTTGAGTTGCATGTGATTATAATGTATTAAAGGCATGGTTGCATGAATGAATTTGATGTGGAAATGGTTGTTTCTTTGAGTTTTGGGGTGTCTTGGTTCTAGGAGATGAATTTGTGGTGTTTGGTCGTATATGTGTTGCATGTTGAATTTCTTGTGAGAAATGAGTTGTGGTTGAGACATATATATATATATAGATTGTTGTATTTCACGTGGGAGTCTTCTATTTTTCAACTGTTATGAGCCAATTCGAGCAATCTCACCGTCGTGACAAGTGCGCCTTCAAGGTGCCGAGCATGGTTTTAATTAGAGTTTCTTTATCTTGCTCATGTTGGACACAAGATTGGTTGCACCAACATGAGGAGGGAGAGTTGCCTTTGATTGAAATTAAGTTAGGTGTGGGTTAAATGGCATTGGGCATGACATCGAGCACCAAAGGAATGACGTCAGCCATAAAGAGAGAGAATTGTCTTTGCTTATATTAGGGCTAGACATGGGACTTTGTCATGCCAAGCGTGAAGGCCCAGGGGTCTCTACATCAAATTCATGTTTAATAATCCATGTTCAATTTCTAGTTTCAACGATTCAACCGTTGAATTTAAAGTTCTTAATATAAAAATTAAGTTTGCAAATTTTTAAAAAATTTGAAAACTATTTGATACTTCGTTTCATTAATTCAAATCAATGTATAAAATATTTTTATGATTATCTATCAGTTTGTGGAAGATATAGGGAACCCCTAGGCCCTCATGCCCAACATGACAAAGCCTAATGCTCGACCTTAATTCAAGTAGAGATGATTATATCTCTTCACAAGCCAATGCCAATGCCATTCCTTTGACACCCAACGTCAATTCAAGCAATGTCGAGTTTCTTACCCGTGTCTGGTGCCATTCAAAACATGTCTAGTTCCACTTCAACCTGAGATAATTCTCTTTCCTCACGCTCAACACCTCCAATTATGTGCTTAGCATGAAAAAGATAAAGAACTTTTAATTGAAACTACGCTCGACATCATGAAGGTGCATCCAACGTAACAATGAGTTCTACACCTAACAAACCATGAATTTGGCTCAACCCATTTGAAATACAAGAAATCCAAACATGCAAAGCAATATACTATACATATACATCATCTATTACCCATTTCACGCCATAAATCCAACATGCAGCCACAATTTGACTAACATCATCAATATCACTTCACGTGTTCTAAAAATCATAAAACTCAGTATTTCCATCATACAATCCATCAACATAAACACATTTTGATGACAATCAAACAACATGAAACTTGTCCAACTCAACATCTTTTTTTTCTTTTCTTTATGATCAAACTAGACTTTTGTGTAGAGAAATCCTCTAAAATACCACAGGATGCCCTTAAGAGTTTCCTTAACTCTCAAAGTTTTCAACTACACCTCAAAATACCATAACATAAAATTAATGATAAAACACAATAATGATCAAAATGATACAATATTGCAAGTTGCATTTAAAAAAGAATTATTTCTTTTGCTAAAAAAAGGATTATAACTGCACGTCTTATAATTGTCATTTTTTTATAAAATTATCATTTTTTATATAATCAAATATTTAAAATTATTTTCCTCTAAAAAATTAAAAATTATTAAAAACATTTATGTTACAAAATATAAAGACTTAATCTTTGTCATAATAAAATAAATTATTGTTTATGAAAAATGTAAATTAAAATCTTTATATAGAGGGACAAATTAAAATTTCATCTAACTTTTTGATTTTATACCAGTATTTTAAGACTTTTCTTTAGATTAATTTGATTAGTCGGAAGAGAAGGAAAACCTGATAAAAATTATTTCTATTAATGATTGAATTTAAACATTATTCAAACGATTCAATCTTAAATTTAACATACATTTTCAACTCTTTAATTTTTCATCTAACTAGATCGTCCCCTTTCAAATTAGGCCCCAATTTGCACTTCAATGAAAAATACAAATTTTAATATAAATTTAGGGTTGAAATAAATATATACACATAATCTAGTTATTTAACTATTTTTTTAAAATAAGAATACATCAGTTGGCTCCGTGTTGAGTTGCCGTTGACCAAGAAAATGCTCGTGTGGTATATCTCTGTCTGCTTCGTGATAATATTCCCTGGCATATTCTTTTGCCGCCGCAAGGCTGCAATTCCATGCAACAACTTGAATTATGAATGTACGCAACACAATTTTTTTTCTTCTTTCCTTTCAATAGTTATGATACTCGTGTAATAATTTTTATATAATTTACTTATTTATTATATATATGTTTTTTATTTTTTTATAACTTTTCTCTTTTATTTTATAAATTTTTACATTATTTATTATAGAGGAAAAAAGGCCCCTCCAGGACAATGCAACAAAGAGAATGATTCTGATTGTTGTGAAACAGGCAAAATGTACCCAATATACAAATGTTCTCCAAAAGTGAGTAGTCACACAAAGGCATATTTGACCCTTAACAGCTTTGAAAAGGGTGGAGATGGAGGTGGGCCTTCAGCATGTGACAACCAGTATCATTCTGATGACAAACCAATAGTTGCACTCTCTACTGGATGGTTCAACCACAAGAGTAGGTGCCACAAGAAGATCACCATAAACGGCAATGGTAGGAGTGTGGAGGCCATGGTGGTTGATGAGTGTGACTCAACAATGGGTTGTGATGCAGACCATGACTATCAACCTCCTTGTGCTAACAATATTGTTGATGCATCCAAGGCTGTGTGGGAAGCCTTGGGTGTGCCTCAAGACCAGTGGGGTGGATTACAAATTACTTGGTCTGAATCCTCTGATGCTTAATACAACTATTACTATTTACTACTCTATCTATGTATGTATATCTTCCTCTTGTTTTATGTATCTTGTGTGTATGGAAAATTATAATTCAGAGTAATATTATATTTTTACAAGTAAATACATGTTTTTGTAACTCAATCTTTGGATATTTTATTGGGAAAGATAACAAATAATAGTAATTAAATGGAAGCAAAGTTGGATCTCCTTTTCTCTTATATAATAACAATAGACTTTAGAAAGCAACAAGATAATTTCAACCTTATAACAAGATGTATAAAACAAAAAAATAAAAATCAATAGACACTAAATTTTAACATGAAAAAATCCTCGATGTAAGATAAAAACTCACAAAATCTTGTTTAATAAAAACTTTACAAATAATAATTAATGGTTACACAAAAAATCTTTTTAAAACTACCCGCCATCACTAGAAATAGTTCTTCATCAATATGATAGATAATAATATAAGAAAACCTCTAAATGTGTATCGAAACAAACAATAGAAAGAGTCAAAATACATTAAAATTAGTACTAAACACTTTTTCATGCATTAGCATAACAATTAGTCCCTTCCCTCCTTCTTATAATAATTGTAATTTAAAGTTTTTATATATAAATTAAGAATAATAATTAATATACTAAGATTAAGAAAAGATAGTTTTAATGATTAATTAAGGTCAATTAATTTGTCTTAATTTTTCTTTATTTTCTAAAACTACCCCTAAATTTATAATACACCTAATATATGTTTTCAAAATTTGTGTTTAAGAAACACGACTTATCCATTTTTCAATTTTTTTTTTAAATTATCCATTATGAGAATTTTGAAATAAAATTAC